AGTTCAAAGATAAGGCACTTTCAGGAAAACTCAGCAGCTCAGGGGCTTACCAAGGACCTAGATTCTTTCCATTTTCAATCTTTGCCACCCTCATCATGTTAGCATTTCCCCCAGATGACTGTCATCTTTCACGTGTCATATTCTCACATCACCACATTTGTACTTATGCCTGTCTTGAAAAGGAAACACAGTCTTCCAAGAAGCCTGTAAACAGGCTTCCTCTCAGGCTTCCTTGGCCAGAATCACAACCCACCCTTATTCTTAGATAATGGAATTACCATGATTGGTTCAGACCACTGGTTCCCAACCCTTCAGAACCAACTTCTTCTTACATATAAAGTATTTTATAACAGCCCTCTTTCCTGAAATGAAAATCAAAGATAATATAACCTGCCCCCACACACACATTAAAAACATAAATATAAGCCCTAATCAGAATATAAAGGTAAAATAAAGGTAATTTATAAAAAAAGGTATATACATTTATATATATATATTTTATATATAGAGAGAGTAAATTGTATTACGAGTTCTAATTATTTTCTGCTCTCCCCACAATGGAATTATACATCCCAGCCTGATGACTTGCAATTTACAGTGCTTCTTTGACCAATGTAATGTGAATGGAAGTGCCACATCTGAGAAGATGCATGGCTCTGCCATAACAACAGCATGTCTCAGATAGGGACTGCTCCTTTAGCCTGGCTCTCAGAATGAAAAAGACATGTGGAACAGGAGCAGAGCAGCAACTGATGTGTAATGTAAACAAGTAATAGATTTTTGTTGTTGTAAGCCATTGAGGTTTTGGGGTTTTTTGTTACTGCAGCATAACTTATCAAAAGCTGACTAACACAATATGGTACAACAATATTCTAGCATATAAAGAAGTAGTCTTCACTTTATGCATGTTTTCACTTATATGTAATATTATCATGATCCAGCAGCTTCAGATGGACATGATACAATTGTGTTGTATGAAAAATTCAGAAACCAAGAGGATATTTCTTTAGTGAAATGATTTTCTGCAATGGTGATCAATTCTTAGTGAAGCTGCAAGTTAAAAAAAGAAAAAGGCATCCCTCAATTACATGATAGTTTACATTCTTGGCACATAAAGTCTATAATAAAATTGAGCAAAATTAGTTGTTGCTGGACTCATATAAAGAGATGTTTTACCTAGATGAATAGAAGTCATGCATCTATTTACATTACATTCAAAAACAGGCAAAATATATACATGCTATTAGAACACATATAGGTATATGACTGGAGGGAGGCATTAGGGTGTGTTCAGTTTGCAAAGATTCATCAAACTGTACACTTCTGTGTGTTTTTCCATATATACGGTTTTTAAATTTTTGTTTTGTTTTTGAGATGGCGTCTCACTCTGTCACCCAGGCTGGAGTGCAATGGCACGATCTTGGCTCACTGCATCCTCCACCTCCTGGGTTCAAGCAATTCTCCTGCCTCAGTCTCCTGAGTAGCTGGGATTACAGGCGCCAACCATCATGCCTGGCTAATTTTTGTATTTTTAGTAGAGATGGGGTTTCACCATGTTGGCCAGGCTGGTCTCGAACTCCTGACCTCAGTTATCTGCCCATCTTGGACTCCCAAAGTACTGGGATTACAGGTGTGAGCCACTGCACCAGGCCCCCATATATATGTTATAATACAGTAAAAAAGTTAAACAAAGTCATTCATGAGACAAATCTTTGATGTGTAGGATTGTTCTATGCATTTCAGAATGTCAAACATTTCTGGTCTCTGCCTATGAACTGCCAATACTGTCCCCTAATTATTATGACAACCAAAACAAAACAAAATGTCCTCACAAATTTTTATAGTGCTGAACCCCAAAGTGCCTTAAGTTTATACTACTCAAACATCATTTCCTGCGCTGGGTCCTCTGAAGCTCATTGATTGACTGATATCTGCATAAAATTGGTCTTTCATTGGCCATTCTTCATAGGCAGGGTAGAAGAAGATGATGTGTGGGTGTTGGTGTTGATGTTGTTATTGTTGTTGGTAGTGGTGTGGTGATGGTGATGGTGGTGGTGATGGTGAAGATGTTGGCAATGGTGATGGTGGAGGTGGTGATGGTAGTATGGATGGTGGTGATGGTGGTGGCAATGGTGATGATGATAATGGTAGTGGTGGTGGTGATAGTGGAGATGATGGTGGTGGTGGCAATAGGGATGGTGGTGGTGATGATGGTGGCAATGGGGATGGGGTGGTGTGGTGATAGTGGTGCTGTTGACGGTGATAAAGGTTGTGGCAATGGTCATGGTAATGGTAGTGGTGTGGTGGTGGAGGTGCGATGGTGGTAATGGTGATGGTGGTGGTGGCGGCAACGGTGATGGCGGTGATCACAGTGATGGTGGTGGCAATGATGATGGTTGTGATGGTGGTGGTGGTTATGGTGTTAATGGCAGTGATGGTGGTGGCAGTGGTGGTAGTGGTTGGGTACGTAGCCGTCTGTATCAGCCACAGCATCTTCCACATGCTATCACAAACATCTTAGATAACTTTGCCCCAACCCTCAGAATCTGCAGTGGTTTCCAACTGTCTATAGGAAAAACCACACCCTACTTACCTGCTAGGGTAATTTTGAAGTGCTTCTGTTTGCACAGAACCTTTACCTTTCCCATTGCTGAACATGCTATAGTATCACTATACTTTGCTCCTCCTTCTGTTGAGAAAGCCCTGCTCTCATTCTCACTTCTCTACGTCTTCATTCAAATGGTTCCTCTTCCATGAAGCAGCGCCCTGTCCCAGGGTTAGCCACTCCTTTGTCTACTTTCCCAGAGGGTTTTATTTAAATCTCTCTTTAGCATTTATTTTATTCTGCCTTTTGTGTAGTTAGTTGGCACATGTCTTTTATAGCCTCCACAGGCCTAGTACAATGATGGGCACTGAGTTCTAAAAAAAAGAAAAAAAAAAAAAAGAGTGTTGAATTAAGCAGAACAGGAACACAGCTTCTGAATTTCTCTGAAATCAGCAACCCAATATCCAAAATCTTTTAGCTGGCTGAGACCTATAGTTGTCATCTGGGTAATATAGAGCTTCCTAACAATAGCTTCTAGGTTAACTGTACTTCCCCTTATTTTAATAGGATTGCATCCTGAACTGGGCTCAGGGAAGGAAATGAAGGTATTTGCCTTCCTCGAACTTCCACAAGTTCACCATGCTTGGGTCCTGTCAATGTGTACATAGAACAGAATAGAATCAACAAGACAGTGGGGGAGGAGGGCTGGTAGCAGCTTGGCTTTAGCATGGCCAAGATGGAGCAGGTGAGGCCAGGTGATGCTTCAGTTACAATTCAGTGAGCATTTATGAGTGTCTACTAAGTGCTGGCTACTGTGAGAGTCACCAGTATCAATTAATAAGAATCTTTCGGCCGGGTGTGGTGGCTCACGCCTGTAATTCCAGCACTTTGAGGGGCTGAGGCGGGTGGATCATCTGAGGTCAGGAGTTCAAGACCAGCCTGGCTAACATGGCGAAACCCTGTCTCTACTAAAAATACAAAATTAGCTGGGCGTGGTGGTGCATGCCTGTAATCCCAGCTACTCAGGAGGCTGAGGCAGGAGAATCCGGGAGGCGGAGGGAGGTTGTGGTGAGCTGAGATTGTGCCATTGCACTCCAGCCTGGGCAACAAGAGTGAAACTCCATCCCCCCCCCCAAAAAAAAGAAAAAGAAAAAGAAAAGACAACCAAAAAATTAGCTGGGCGTGGTGGCCCATGCCTGTAATCCCAGCTCCTGGGGAGACTGAGGCAGGAGAATCACTTGAACCCGGGAGGCAGAGGCAGTGAGCCGAGATCACACCGTCCCACTCCAGTCTGGGCGACAAGAGCGAGACACCATCTCAAAAAAAAAAAAAAAAAGATTGTTTCTCTTTTACTCTAATGGGGGAGGTGATGTATGTGTGCAGGTACCAGGAGGGAGGTGCAGATAGGAATTCAGAGAGAATGTCTTTGGGCATGGGTCTCCCTGCCAAGCCCAGGTGTCCTGACTCTGGTGTGCTGTGGTTGCCTATCTCACTCACTAGATTTTAAATTCCTTGTGGACAGGGACCGTACCTCATTCGAATTAACTGCCTTCACCCAGTGTCCAGCCTCTTGGGGCCAGGCAAAAATATGGGACAAATCACTAAGCAGTGTCCTATCCACCCTCCTTAAAGAAAACTCCACCCCTGTCATTATAAGCCTATTTCTTCTGCTACTGAATGGCCTGCAGCCCCAGGTTCCCAACTGTCAGGCCCCCTTGGGCTGGTCCCATTCCTTCCGGGTGGGTTTGAGGTGTCATCCGTTGGAGCTTGGCCGCCAGCGCCAGTCCTCCCGCCCGCCCTCCCTCCCATCCCCCACCCCCCACCCCCCACCCCATCCCCACCCTTCCTGCTGAACACTGTGTGGTAGCAGCTCAGCCTAGCACTTCCTCTAATGGCTAATGCTTTTGTGGGAGGTTCTGAACTAGGGTTAAAAGACAAAAAGCTCTTCCCCCTCTCCCCTCCCCCAGTTCTAGTGTTGCTTCCTCTAGTTCTGACGTTCCCGTTGCTGTATCCCTAGATCCCGCCTTTGTTTTAAGCTCCAGAAGAAAGCCTTCCGGAGACTTTGTGACCTCACCCAGTTTCCAAAATTCCAGATTGTCTTTGCTTTCTCCCCAGACTTTAAAATCAGTGTTCCCTTCTGAGTCAGCTAGGAGGCCGGAGGGAAACAGTGGGGCTTTCGAAGCTTATCAAAAGCAAACCTTGCTCTTTTGAAAAAGCATTTTCCAAAGCAACTTGGAGACAAAGTGGGGTTAAATTTTACACAGATTGCTTACGAGCAAGAGTTAAGCGACTAACAAGACATGAAATCTTACGGAGAAGTAGGTAAAGACAAAATTAAAAACTCCCTCCGGGTCAGCCCATTCTGCGACCCACCTCCTCCCCTCTGCGGCAGGGGGCTTTGCTGCAGTGGCACTGCCCACGCATACTCAACCAAGAGACTCAGACCACGCCAGCCATGCCACGAAGTGTGTTTTATTTTCATTATTCATACAAATAATTTTCTATAATATTCCAGGGCAAACCGGAGAATTTGGCAGTCCGATTGGGGGGGTCCCTTCAGAGACCCACAGGCCGGTGGCATCGGCGCGGAGTGCCCAGGTTCACAGTGCAGCTTGTGGCTCGTGTCCATCTTGCAGGTGGCTCTTCCTCCACATCACGACTGGGGTCTCGAAGATGACGGGGGTAGGAAATCCTCCAGGATTTTAGGAAATTTCACTCCGCTTCTCCTGCTCAATGGCTGTGGAGAGCGGGAAGCGGGCGCTGGAGGGGAGCTGCAACCCCCACCCGCAACCGAGGTGCTTCCCAGTGTGGGCGAGGCACCCACGAGGTGTGGGGATTTAGAAGGAAGCTTGGGGCTGGGGAGAGACAAGGCGCTTTGTGAAACTGAAAGAGCGGCCGGGGCCGCCCAGACCGCGGGCAACGGCCGGGTGCGGGGTGGAGGAGAGGGTTTGCAAGGAAGAGCAGGGTGAAGGGCTGGACTGGGGCGCGGGAGACCGAGGCACACTCACTCTCTTTGGTCGGCAGGGTGTTCTTCTCCTGCGTCTCCGTTTTCTTCAGCTTGGCCTTATCGAAGCTGGCGATTTCCCCCATGTCTGGTTTGTCTGCCATTTTCTTAAAACAATCCTAGTGGGCAAACGAAGGCGCTTAACCTGGGGCTGGGGGCCAGCGTCGCCCTCTGCGCTCCCCGCCGACGCCTCTCGACGTGGCACTCGCGCTAAGGCGTGGCGAGCAGCCCCAAGGCCGAGGATCTGGGCGCGTCCGGCACCCCCCTTCTCGGTCCCAGGGCGTGGTCGCCGGCCCCTGCGTCCCGTCCGAGAAGGGCGCCTGTCGCGGTTGCGGCGCGCCTGTACGGTGCACAGGATCCGGCCACACCCTGGGTGGGCCCCCAGCCCCGACGCCGCACTCACCGTGTAGTCGGGTTCCGAGCCCGGGATCCTGGTGCTCCCACTCGCGTTGCTGCAGCAAGAGACAAAAGAGCGGCGCCCGCCCCTAGCCTTATATACGCCGCGCCCCGCCCCGCCCCTCACCCGCCGCAGCAGGGGCGGCGCTGGCACCCGAGGGGCGGGAGCAGCGCGGGCGGCTCCTCGCCCTGCCGCGCCCTCCGCTGGGCTGCCAGCCCGGCTGGGCGCGGCTTCTCCCGTGCCCGGCACCCCCAGCTCACAGTGTGCCTTGCGTGGGGGCTGTAGTCGCCGCCAGGGTGGGCGCTAGGTCCCCGGGTTTGCTTTTGCGGCTACATTTCCCCCTTTCCGGGAATCTGCTGTTCACCCCGCAGAAAAGATATGGGACCGACTGGGGAGGGTTTTGTGCGTGTGCAGATATGATGTGTAGCCGTGGGTGTGGATGTGCGGGCGTGCACGCGCACTCTGCAGCAGTCCTTGCTCTGGGAGACGCCCCACCCCTGTCGCCCCCACGCCTCTTGCTTTTGCTCCTCCAGAGTCCCCTTCCCTCCCCCACTTTTCCTCTCCTCAGGGAGGCTGAGTCCTAAGCTGGTCCTGCACTAAAAGAATTCGAGCCGAGGGTCCCGTAGTGGAGCGGGGAGCGGGGGCGGGGGGAGGGGAGGAGGAAGGGGAGGGGAGAAATAGGTTTCCAGCGCTCTTTGCTCAGGTTGGGGGCGGTTGCCCTCTGGTCAGTCGTCCCATGTTCCCTGAACTGGGCGGTTCCAGCAGGATCATTGGCGTGGCGGGTGCTCCTTAAATGCTGTTAGATGCATTGTGTGAAGGGCTGTGGTGAGAGCAGGGCGTCCCAAGAAGGCTCGCAGTGTTCTTTTTCTCGCCGAGCTCCTGGAAACACTGTTATCAGCGGGTGCGGTTTTCCTCCTTGAAGTTAACCTTGAGGATAGTAGAGACCCACATGCCTACAAACGTTCTTGTTTTTCTTATTAACCCATTGTAGGAGTGGTATACTGCAATTATTCACATCTTTCTTAGAAAAGTTGTATTTTCAGCCTGTGCAACACCGTTAGGTAATAAGTTCCATAAATTACCAGCCCAGGAGTTAAGGCTGGTTATTCTTTTATTTGTCCTGACCTTTCCTTTTTCAAGTGTGAAGTATTACCAAGCCCTTTAAAGTGGGATTTGGTGGTAACAGCCTAAATTCGGTCCTGATTTTATTTATTTACTTTTTTTGAGACAGGGTCTCACTCTGTCACGCAGGCTGGAGTTCAGTGGTGTGATCACGGCTCATGGCAGCCCGGACTTCCCTGGTTCAAGTGATTCTTCCTCCTCAGCCTCCTGAATAATTGGGACTGCGGGCGTGCACCAACACTAGCGGCAAATCTTTTGTATTATTTTCGTAGAGACGAGATTTCACCATGTTGCCCAGGCTGGTCTCGAACTTCTGGGTTCAAGCCATCTGCCTGCCTCAACCTCCCAAAGTGCTGGGATTACAAGCCTGAGCACCACTGCCCCCTTCTCCCCTCCTGATTTTACCTGCTTTTCTCACTTTCCTTCAGTGTGTTTGGAACAGTGGGAAGAGAGCTTAGGCTTGTGTGACCTTGGGCAAATCTTTTCCTTAGTTTCGTCATCTATAAAATAGCTTTGGCATAAACTTAGATAAAGAAGAGGCATCAAGTGGATACCTTTTTTTTTTTTTTTTTTTTTTTTTTTTTTGAGACGGATCTCACCCTGTTGCCCAGGCTGGAGTGCAGTGATGTGATCTCAGCTCACTGCAACCTCTGCCTCCTGGGTTCAAGCGATTCTTGTGCCTCAGCCTCCCAAGTAGCTGGTATTACTGGCACGTGCCACCATCTCCAGCTAATTTTTGTATTTTTAGTAGAGATGGGGTTTCACCATGTTGGCCAGGCTAGTCTCAAACTCCTGACCTCAAGTGATTCACCCTCCTTGGCCTCCCAAAGAACTGTGATTACAAGTGTGAACCACTGTGCCTGGCCTCAAGTGGATACTTAAAATAGCAACGTCATTGGAATATCACACTCATATTTGATGAGTGCATTGGTTAACTTCTGCTGCAATATGCCATGTAACAAACCAGCCAAAGCTCAGGAGCTTAAACAATTATTTATTCTTGTTCCTATATGGGCAGGTCAGATGGTGCTGGGCTGGGCCAGGCTGGGCTTGGCTCCAGACTTTGGATTGGATCTAGGTTTGCTCCACAGGTATCTTATCCTCTGGCTGATTCTTTGGTGATGGCAGAATAGCAAGAGGGTTGTCCTGCAAGATAGTGTAGAAATGTTAAAGTGTCAAAGCATGTCATATACTGTCATGTTTGCTATCATCCTATTGGTCAAGCCCACCATCAACAGAGTGGGGAAAATATTGCACCTATGGTAAGAGAGGGAGGGTAGTGAACATTTCTTGAATGAAAGCGGAACTTCACAGGCAGGGTCGGCAAATAACTGTAACACACAGACCCCAAAGTGGCTTAATGCAATACAAGTTTATTTTATTTTTTGATTTTTGAGATGGAGTCTTGCCCTGTAGCCCAGGCTGGAGTGCAGAGGCATGATCTCCTCTCACTGCAACATCTGTCTCCCGGGTTCAAGCAATTCTCCTGCCTCAGCCTCCCGAGTAACTGGGATTACAGGCATGCACCACCACACCTGGCTAATTTTGTATTTTTAGTATGGATGGGGTTTCACCATGTTGGCCAGGCTGGTCTTGAACTCCTGACCTCACATGATCCACTCGCCTCGGCCTCCCAAAGTGCTAAGATTACAGGTGTGAGCCACTGTGCCCAGCCTACAAGTTTATTTTCTACTCATGCAGCAACATTCTATGCTGATGTTGCTGGTCAGGCAATTCTTTTCTATGCAGTGACTCAGGAACTCAGGCCCCTTCTCTCTTATTACTCTTCTCTCCTCTAGGTCCTTGAAGTCCACACCATCCAGTCAGTGGACGGGGAAAGAGGAAAGGCTAGAGGCCCACACTAGAGTTTTTATGGACCAGGCTTGGAAGTAGTCTCCAATACTTTCGTTCTCATTTCTTTAGCCAGAGCTCCTTCACTTGGTTTCACATAACTGCATAGGAGGCTGGGAAATATAGTCTAGCTGTCCCTAGGAGAGAAAGAAAGCAGGGTTGGGTGGTCTTGGAGTGGTCTCTGCCATACACTGTTGAAGGATCTGCTAAATAGAAAGTAAAAATATCCAGATTTTCAGAGACAATGACTCTTTGGAGGGTTTCACTGGCACTTGACATCTTTTCAGTTGCAATGCCAATAATTGTTTAGGTATTATTATAATACATTCCCAGGCCCCAACATTGACCTGGATGTAGGAATATTCAATTGTACCAATTTGGACCCATGGTGAACTTCCATTCCAACTTCCCTTTATTGAGAAAACAAAGGAGTTGACTTCTAAATATAGCTATGGAGACCTATGTTTGGTGACTGAGTGAGTATGCAAGACTCCCAAACAAAGGAGCTTTAAGGGGACTTGCAGACAGACATTCCTTATTCTTGCTCAGTGCAACCCTGTGGCCCATCTCTACCACAGCAGGCAGCCTCTTTGGCATTCATTGCTGAAGGACAATGGTCAAATTTATGTCTCAGCCAGTCCCATGGGCAGAGGTTTTAAAACATCTTCATGTTCTTTGACATTTTCCCACCATTTCTTGGGTACAGACTGGCCTTAGTGACTTTATTTTAGTGAATAACACATGGAAGGAATGATGCCTTTGTGACTTCTGAGGCTAGGTCGTAAAAGACCACATGGTTCTTTCTGACGTTCTTTCAGGATACCTCCAAGTTGTGAGAAAACCAAGCATCTACAAGGAAAGGCCACATGTTGGCATTCCAGCCACAGCCTCAGCTGAGGTCAGAGCCAATAGCCAGCATCAACCACTAACCACACAAGTGAAGGAGCCTTCGAAGCTTCAAACTGCCTCAGCTAATGCCAAGTGGAGCACAGATGAGTTGTCCCTGCCTAAATTGCAGACTCATGAGCAAAATAAATGTAGTTGTTTTAAGACACTAAGTTTGAGAATATTTTGTTACACAGCATTAGATAACTGGACCACCATGAGGTAGATATATTATAACCTGGTGATTCCAGGCACTCAGATCTCATTTGGGGATTTTTTCCTACATACTTAATGTAACACACATATACTTATTCAATAAATGTCTACTGAATGCTCACAAAATATCTGGGAGCATTCTGGCTATGGAAGATACAATGAAACTCTCGAGTTACAAGTGTAGTGTCAGTCAATAATATTCATGGTCATGCCTCCTCTTCACTTATGACTTGGAGTGCCACTTACACATGACAACGTTTCAGCCTGCTGCTGGGAACAGATTTTATACTGTTCACAGATGGAACAGACAAAGCTGAACTACTAAACTGCAATGATATTGCCATTTTCTTTGTCAAGAAGGATGTTCTGGAAAATGTAGAACTAATAAGAGGAACTAAGAAAGTCTTGATGACTGTCAACCTGGTGGGGGTGGGGGATGCCTTTGGAGGCTTGCCATGGGGCTTCATTCCTCAGACTTGTCCAACTTGACACTTTTATCAGAGACTGGAATGAGGATGTAGATAGAATAATGATTATGTTATGAAGGATGAACCTCTAAGCTCCAAAACCAACTGGATCCCGTGAAGAAATGAACAAAATGTGATGAGATAAACCTGATAGAGACAGATGTGGAAGCCTCCTGGCCCTAATATTAATCCTACCAATACAGGGAGAGATGATTAACATGGTTAACTGGCAAATGGCAGTGAAATTTGTGATTGTATGGATAGGAAGAAAGAGTCCAGTCCAGATTTCCTTTAATGTAAGAAAACCATTCACTCCTGCTATAGGACCTTTGCCCTCATTTATGCTCTTCTTGGTCTAAACATACGCATTGTGCACATTCTTCCTTCATTTAGGAACCTGCTTAAGTGTCTCTTTCCTCAGAGAACTCTCCTTGGCCCACATACAGAGCAACACCCTTGTCATTCTCTTGTCCTTTAGTGTGTTTCAGTTTTCTTCATAGAATCCATCTCTAACCAATATACAAGTAA